CCCTACCACGACCCGACCACCCCCTACCCCCCCCCCTACCCCCCCACCCACACACACACACAAAAAAAAGAAAAAAGAAAATAACACACACACACACAAAAGAAAAAGAAAATACACACACACACACAAAAAAGAAAAAGAAAATACATACACACACACACAAAAGGATAGCTATTCAGCTATGTCACTTGGACACTCATGTGATTCCTAGCATGTGTTGACAAGCCAAAGAAACGACACCTCCGTCTAAGACTTTAAGAACTTAGACAATTCTCCTTAACCTTTAATTTTGAAATGTTAATATGAAGGTACTGATGTCACCTAAAATCCCACCTTCCTAAATGATGTATGGGCACATGTCTTTCTAAAAGGCTAAACTTTTGGTGTTCACATTTCTGACATGCATAACCGACACTAACACTCGTATAAGCGTCTTCATAACTCATTTACAGACAGATGAGAGAGAGAGAGAGAGAGAGGAGGAGGACACAGACAAGGAGAAGCGGTAGGACGAGGAAAAGGGGGAGAAGAAAGCAACCCAATATAGGAAAATTATTCTCAAGAAAAAAGAAAACAACAGAAATTTCCCAATTATAGAAGAAATAAAGGAAAACTCGATCTAAGATGCTGTAGGAATTTTTCTTTAAAAAATATATCATTAGCAAAAAGAAAAAAAACCTCACGCAATGAGATCATTGATGAAAGAGTCTGAATTCCCACAAAATCAGAAATAAAAAACCAAAATTGAACTTTCTCAGAAAATCCTACAATTACTAAAAAGGAAAAGAAAGACTGAATTTCCATTACTCAAATGCAAAATTACAATGTAAAAATATAAGATAAAACGTAATAATAAATCACCAAACATTTTCATCTACATTCCCAATTTTAGGAACGAAAATTTTTAATGTCAAATAGGAGTTGGACCAACACCGAAAAAGCGAAACTAAAAAGAAATTAAATTAGCTAGGTACAGAAAATTAAAATGAATAAACAAAAAAAAACCTAGAATATGTAAAAATAATAAGTACAATAATGGAAAATACCAAATATTTGTGGGAGAAATAAATCAGAAAATCCGGCATTCCGCAAATAAATAAATTCCAAAAATATTGTAAAAATAAAATAAAAGAAGATGGAACACCTGAATTTCCAACAAAAATCACAAATAACAAAACCAAATCCGATTATGAGTTACAAATAAACGAAGAAAAAGGAAATAATGAAAACGGAAATAAAAACAGAAATATCCCAACATTAGTGCTAAACCTGCAAACTAAAATATCATACCAACACCGATTAACGATCAAAAGCTAAATTCCTATAAAAAACCTAGCACATATAACATTCATTTAATTAGAGTCACTAACCGGTAGATATCCTTTAACAATGAGGTCTTGACAAGGGGGCGTCTCCACTGAAACTGGTGCATAGTTCCCGGAGAGATAGTAGTTCGGCTTCGAAGAATCGTACATGGCCCATACAATCAACTTCTCCACGCCATCCAAAACCTTCGAAATCAACCCCTTCTTAGGTTTTGGATCCACTATCACAACCCCATCTTCCACCTTCTCTCCCTCCACCATTGCTATAACTCAGAGAAACTCTCTCTCTCTCTCTCTCTCTCTCTGTGCAAGCTTCTACAGTCTCTCTCTGCCTATATATGCATAGTCACATAGACTTTCTCTCTCTAGAATTGCAGCAGGGACTGAGTTTCACAGCGAAAAACCAAACATTATCTGCCGCTGCTGGGCGCTTTGAGAGTGGGAGTTCCAGAGTGACATGTGGACAACTGTGGTCCTATGGTTTTTAAGGAAATCTCACAAGAACACTTTAATTATTGAATGTAATTCACATACGGATGCATCCGTAGCTCTACAGGAAGGTGCCCCGTCAAATTTGCCCGTCAAATTTTATCATGGTTATAAATTTTATTATGGTATATAATTTTGATGTAAAATGTTTTTAAATTTATTTTAAAATTTATTTTTATATTTAATTATAAATTTTAAATTTTTAAAATAGTTAAAATCAAATAGATCTATAAACATATGAAAATCTTGAAAATAGACGGTGTAGATAATATATTGTAAAATGTATTCTTTTTTAAACTTAAAATCTTTTTATTTTTCATAGTCATATATGTCGATATAATCAACAAAAAAAATTTTCAATATAAAAATTACCTTTTCTGATGAAGGGACATAAATAGCTCTACATTATAAGATAGCATCCTTATATAAACGTTATAAATGTTTTCCTTCTGCGATTCCCCCCTTGCAAAGGAAAATGTGCCAGATTGCCAACCCTCTATAGTATAAGCAAAGGCATACCTCTAAAATTTGGATGCAATTTCAATATTAAAAATCCTATCAAAGGCTTGAAAGTCCATGCTTAATTTTAATTATAAAATTAAAAAATAAAAAATATTGTATATTTAAAAATCTTAAAAATAGACGATTAGGATAACTTGTTGCAAGATGTACATATTTAAAAAGATTGTATACTATGAAACCATTTATTATTGTTACAATGAGATCATAATCACTCTTAGCTCTTTGATGTCAAATTGAATGGCTTAAAGTGTGTCACAAAGTTAAAAAAATTTTACACTTATAACTATCGGATTTAAAATTTGACGCACAAGAATGATTGTGACCTCTTTGTTGTAAAAATAAATATTCTCATCGTATACTTTTCTATATTTAAAAACTTGATTTTATTTATTTATTTATTTATACATCCATGCATCTCAAGGTGAAGATCATCAATTGAAAATGTTTTTCAACTTCAAAGCACTCTTTTATGCTTGGTTCTTAAGGTACACCTTACTTCTAAACTTACGACCACATATATACTTTTTCCAATTAGTGTTCAAAAAAGTATTGGAGCGTAAGTGTGCAAAGACCAATTTGGATGAAGGGTACGGTTTGTATAGAGCCTAAGCTCTAAACAATCAAATTAGAGCCTACCGTAAAATAGAGTAGAGAAATGTGGTTTCAATATTGACAATCTTTATGATAGCCTTAAAATATATTTTTATTTTTATTTATAAAATTTAAAGCTTCAAAAATATTATAGATCAATAGATCTATGAAAACTTGAAAATCTAAGAAAATGACAGTAAAAAATACATTAAAAAATACATTATTTTTCAGAAGTTGAAATTCATTTTTTTTCTCATGTCCATGCATCTTGATATGGAGATGATCAATTTGAGAATATTTGAGCATCAAAACAATCTCTTCTAGTGAAATTTTGGATGTAGGCTCTAATGTGATTATTTAGAGCCTCGGCCCTATATAAACTTTTCCCTTGAATGAATTGCCCTGGTCTTTTTCTCTTATGACAAGAATGGTTGTTCTCTTGTTTTTTAGGGTGAGGCGATGCTTTCCAAGTAGTGTAGAGGGTGATGTTGATTCTCTTTGAACATGTGAAAGCACAGAGGGTGGGTTAGTGATTGGCCAAAATGGGGTTACCAAAGGAATCTTTAAAGACTTAAGATTTTAATCTTTGGCTGATTGATTTTCGCTATTAGCTTTGTTTGGTAAGATTGAAAACTGAAAATTTTAGGGGAATATCATTTTAGGGGTCAAGCCATGTGGTTATATTAGCAGTTTTAGCAATAAAGCAGTTTTTACTTTCTAAAAAACTCTTTTATATTGATGAATCTCTTCAAGAAATTTATCTAAACCATCAAAAGATTTTGTACTCCGATAGGAGTATACAATCTGTCTACCCCCTCGGGTAAAACTTAAATTAGGAAAGTCTTTTAGATTTCAAATTTTGGGATGTGATCAATAGAACTTGGTGACCAACCTCCAACAAATAATAATAATAATAATAATTGAATCTCTCTATATGCCTAAAACAAAGGCATCCTAAGATTGCACAAAAACCATCCAATATTACAAGGGAAAGATCTAAAAGGTCTAAGAACTCCAAATCGTTCTTCTTCTTTTTTGAATTTAATAATATAGTTACACTTACATAGATCTAAAATTCCCCAAAAAGAAAAAAAAAAATCTCAATTAAATCTTTTGCCCAAGGGAGTAAACGTATAATATGCTTATGTAGAAGAATAGTAATATAGTATATATGCTCATCTAAACACCTCCTATGGGAGTACACCATCCATCTGCTCCCTCGGTCAACGCCTCTGCAAGGAAATATTTTTTAGGTTCTAAATTTTGGAAATGTGATCTCCAGAACTTGACAACCAACCACAAAGAAAAATAAAAATTCTCTCTCTACATGCCTTAAAAAAAGGCATCCCAAGATTGCATAAGAACCGTCCAATTTTACAAGTGAAAGATCCAGATGTTCAAGAACTCAAAAATCCTTTTTTTTTTTTTTGAAAATAATTGCATTAGATAGATCCCAAAATTTGCAACAAAAAAAAATAAAAAACTCCCAAGTAAATCTTTTGTCTGAGGGAGTAAATATATAGTATGCTCACACAGGAGCATCACATACATGCTCATCCAAACCCAAAAGATTTCCTATTTCTAAAAGAGTATGCCATCCATCTGCTCCCTTGGCCAAAACTTATGTCCGAAAAACTTTTAGATCCCAAATTTTGGAGATGCTAACTTTAGAACCTAACAACCAACCTCAAAAGAAAAAAAATTCACCCACTGCATGCTTAACAAAAAGATCAAGAAGGAGCAGAGAGTCCCTTGGGAACTTTGAGCTTTGTGGCGGGAGGTGATGGATTTGGTTGACAATGTAATGGTGTCATTTGCTCATGTTTACAGGGTGACTAATGCTATTACCGAAACCCTTGCTAAAGGGGGAATTTCTATTCGTAGCCTTTTAGTTAATGATGATGTAATCTCTTTTCCGTAAATTATAATAAATTTATTGATCTTGGTCAAAAAAGAAGAAAAGAAGCATCCAATTTTTCATGGGAAATATCTAGATGTTTAACAGCTCAAAAACCTTTTTTTTTCTTTGAAAATAATAATAATGTTATATTTAGATGAATCCTAAAGTTTAAAATAAAAATAAAAACTCAAAATCCAATTTTTTTTTTTTGAAGTAATCATAAAGTTATGGTACTATGTTTGTGGTCACACACACTCATATGAATGCTTCCAAACCTCATTACTTAGTTTACTTGTTCTTTTGGTTGCACAGTTTGAGAAAAAATAAAGAGTTTATAAGAATTAGCATCATTATGTCGGTTTACAGGTTAATTGTTAAAAATGTCTGAATTGAGTAAAAATGAAAACGCCTAGAAAGCCAATCGGCTCCAACATCTCCAACTCGAAGAAAGTTAAGATCTAAACTTTGGAACGATTTTACCTAGCAACTAAATGAGATGGAACTAGAAAAGCCATATGTAAATATTGTAATCATGTTTTTGTGGCAAATACTAGTGATGATACAACCCACCTTAGCCGTCATATTAAGGTTTGTCCTAAGCATCCATATCAGGATTTGCAACAATTATTAGTTGGGGAGCTTGAAAAGTTTGATCAAGACGTTAGTTATAAACCTCTTGCAAAGATGGTTATTGTTCAAGAGTACTCATTTTGTATGGTTGAGCACCATGATTTTAGAGAATCGGTTAAGACCCTTCAATCCAAGTTTACTATAGTGAGACAAACTACAATAAATAATGATTGCATCGCTCTATATTAAGAGGGAAAAAATACTTTTTAATATTTTAGAAAGACCAAATGGAAGTGAATCTTACCACTTACCTTTGGACATATAATCAATCTCTTGGATATATGTGTCTCACGGTGCATTATATAGAGAGTGATTGGATTTTAAGAAAAAAGATCATAAACATCAAATTTGTACCTTATCTGCACACAAGTTTAGTTATCTTGAATGCAATTGAAGGATATATTTTTTTATTGGAATTTGGACAATAAATTATGTGCTATTACTGTAGATCATGGTTTCAAAAAGCAGACCGCCTAGGCGGTCCAATGGGCTTGGGCACATCGTCCAGGCCTAGGCGGGAGTCCTGGGCGAGGAGTCCATTGGCGGCCACCTAGGCACATGGGACCCACGTAGGCGGACGCTCGGGACCCGCCTAAGCTGGCGCCCAGTGCCCAACCTTGGACGGCCGTCCAAGGGTGTTTTTTGTCTTTTTTACCCTTAAAATAGGGGAAAATGGGGATTTAAGTTATTGTGTGACCTAAACCTCTACCGCTCTGTGGGAGGTGCAAAGGTGTTTTGTTTGTCTTCTTCTTCTCTATTAATTTTCCTTTATTTTATTGTTTTTCGGTGATAACTAGTTCAAGATTAATTTTGGAATTGTGTTTGCTTTTCTTATAGATCGAATATAGTCTTGTTGTGAGGTTAACATCAGTGTAAGAAATATTGAATTGGAGCGGTTAACTGGACATGGGGTCAGAAGCGGTTCCACCAGCCTAATCGGGCAAGTCTTGGGCGGCCAAGAAAGTATTTAAAAAAGATAAAAAATTTAATAAAATATGAAAAGTACGTTTAAAACAAAGCAAATCTAAATAAAGTTGAAAGTTAATTAAAAAATGGATTTTAAATAATTGATTTGTGTCTAGGGGTATTTTTGAATTTTTTAAAAAAACATGGAAAAATGTAAAGTTAAGTATTAATGACCAAAACAATTTCCAATATTTGCCAAAGTTATGAAAAACATTAAAAATGCATTATAAATAAAATCTCTTATTTTTAGGATGTTATATAATTATTTTTGAATGTTTTTAAAATACTTGGTCGGTTCACGAAAATCGGCCGAAACCGGATCAAGCCACTAACCAGGTGATTAGAATTTGAACCGCTAGATTTTTCCGACACTGGTTAAGATTATTTCGTGAATTGTATTTGCTTTTCTTATAGATCGAATATAATCATGTTGTGAATGGAAACCTTGTAAATTACATTTGTAATGCAATTGTCCTAGTTTATGTGAATATTTTATTGAATTGTCAGTTGTCGATTGGTGGATAATGTATACGTTAGAGCGAAATGCTTTCTTAAGTTTCTTAGGAATGGTTATTCCGGACATCATTAAGATTGCAAAAGGCATAAAGAGGGAATAGATAGCTGAAAGGTTAGGGTAATGAGGGGGTCTCTATTGCTCAGTTGGTTCTTTGAAAGTCATTTGAGATCTTTGATGCAGCAGTAAGAGGTCTTTATGCAGTCAGTAGCCCCTACCAGTAAAATTTCCACTTTCGGAACTTTGAGGTCCTCATCCATTAAAACCCTTGTTGGCAAACATGTTGAGATATTCATCTATTATTAGAATTTGTGGAAGGAAAGGATTTTGAGCATCTTGCCTTTGTTATCTATTCTTTCGAGCATCGCTGATTTTTGAGGAATCATTTTCTATTAGTAGGATTATTTTTTTATCTTTTTCCTCTTATTTTTGTCCTATGGTGCTTGAAATATGATCATGGTTGATATCAAAAGTGGAATTTTTATCTTCCTCTTGTACATAATGACTCTCACTCATTAACAGTTAGAGAGAATTTGGTGTTTGATGTTGTCGTTTGATCTATCTGGACAATTATTTATAAGTCTCTCTCTCTTTGTGGGTAAATGTGCTTGGTAGCTCATATGTAAGTTTGCTCGGCCAAAGCCTTGCAGACCTGAAAACATGTCAACCGATTGGTGTAATTGGAAGATTTTCTTGGCTAATTTTTTTTGTTTTTTTACACTAGGATCTTTTAAAGCCACCAAAATTTTAGAGTTTAATTTGAATAACAGATAATTCAGGCCGGCTTTAAGAGATTACTTCTAGGTCGGGCCCAATGGTCAACCAAAGTTAAAATAACAATTGTAATATAGGAGAAACTGAGTGTGTGGAATTGGAAAAAATTCTCGCTTCTTTTGTTTTTTTTTTCCTCGTGTGTTGAGATTAATGGATGCTTATGAGTGTCTCTTCTTACATTCGTAATATATGGTCTTACAAATTCAAGGAGTGTTCCACCAAATGATAATAATAATAATAATTTTTTCAAAATAATAATAATAATAATAATTTGGCCGGGCTGGGCTGGGCCCAACATTTCATTGCTGGCAGGGCCGGACCTGGCCCAAAATAATAATTTTCGGGTTGGGCCTTACCAGCTGGGACAAAACTGATCCGGTGGTAGCCCTATTTGCGAGCCTTATGATGGGCCTTGACTGTTTTTTAATAAAAGCAATACTAAAAATAGGAACAGGTTCAATCTGTCTTGAATCCCTGGTTGGATGGTCCCAAAATTTGAATTCTTAAAATAACCAAAAAGAATAATTTGAAATAAGAATCACCCTCAACCCTCATCTCTAATATTTTATATTCTTTTTTTTTATTTTTTTGAAGGACATAGATAAAAAGTAGTGAAAAAAGATATGTTGACTTTTGATCTTACTAAAAGTTTATGTAGCCGACTCCAAATAATTAAGATAAAGCTTTGATAATAATGATCTTTTATTTTTCTTGAAATGTTTCCGACGGTTTTGAATCAAGGTGTTTTTTCCCGATTTAGGACTTTCAATGTCCAAATCTTTTAATTTTTAATTTTTTTTTGAAGGACATAGATAAAAGTAGTAAAAAAAGATATATTGATTTTTTATCTTACTAAAAGTTTATGCAGCCGACTCCAAATAATTAAGATAAAAGCTTTGATGATGATGATGATGATCCTTTATTTTTCTTGAAATGTTTCCGACGGTTTCGAATCAAGGTGTGTTTTTTCAATGTCCAAATCTTCTAATTTTTAATTTTTTTGAAGGACATAGATAAAAGTAGTGAGAAAATATATGCTGATTTTTGGTCTTACTAAAAGTTTATGTAGCCGACTTCAAATGATTAAATTAAAGCTTTGATGATGATGATCCTTTATTTTTCTTGAAATGTTTCCGACGGTTTTGAATCAAGGTGTTTTTTCCCGATTTAGGACTTTCAATGTCCAAATCAGTTTTCTCGTAACTGCACCACTTCCAAACCAGTCTTTCACTTAAGAAAAGGAAAAATAACCAAGAAAAAGAATTGGGCGACTCTATTTTACCAAAAGACCAGTTAGAACTTGATACTTCCAAGTTCCATGGGTAAAGTACAAGATGGAGGCATGGGGAAGTAGGGAGTCATGTTGGGGGTGAAGGTTTGTCGTGTACTTTCTATTATTAATGATTAAGGCAGGGATATAGATACGAAAGTATATATAATGAAATTATTTAAGTCACGATTATTATTGGCTATTAAATGTGAAATCGAGTGGAGCTATTATTGATTAAACATAAATCCTTGGCCATTAAATGTGAAATCGAGTGGATCCATTATTGATTAGACATAAATCCTTAAAAAAATTTCATGAACGTTGAGACACTTTAATACGTAGGATTTAACATCTAAAAGCTAAAAATAATTGTGACCTTGCACTAAAAGTAAATACTCTCGTAGTAATCCTAGACAATATGTACAGTACTAGTAATCCTAGATAATATGTATACCGAACAGAGAAGGAGGTTTGGGAATTAAAAAACTAAAATATGTAAACCAGACATTGTTGTCAAAATGGTAGTAGAGACTAGCGATGATGAGATGTTTTGGAAAGATATATGAATAGCCAAACATAATCTTTGGATAGGTAGTGGGGGAAGGGATAATCTTAACTCACTGATATAGAAAGACATTCTTCAAAATAAGTTTTTTATGATTGGTGGTTGTAAGTGGATATTGGATGATGAGAGAAATATATCTTTTTGGCATAGTAACTAGGTAAGAGATTGTTGTTTGAAAACAACATATCCTCTGGTGTTTGGGGTGACAAATCAGCAAGATATTTTGGTGTCACAGACCTTTGATTGGGAGGCTAAAGTATGGTCCATAAATTGCAAGTACAACAGTGTTCCAGACTCTTTGATAGATTGCTAGGGGATACTGTTGAAGCTACACCCCACAATGAGAGGGAAGATGTGTTGCTATGGGAGGCTAAGAAGGACAGAATTTTCTCAGTAAAACCAACGTATCATTTGTTGTTTCATGATAGGATCTGGTGGAGTAGGCCATTACTTAAGAGAATATGGTACTGGAAAGTCCCTTTCAAAATTCAAATCTTCTTGTGGATTTTGTTTCAAGGTAAGTCGCTTACTATGGATAAGGTAATAAAAAAGGGGAGGATTATCATGAATGTTTTTATTCAGTGCAAGTAAAATGATGAGAATGGGGATATCTTTTCCTTCGTTGTTCTTTCTCTTCTCATATTTGGGCATAGGTTTTTCAAAAGATTGGACATATGATGGTGGTGCCGAGCAGTCATATGAACATTTTGGACAGCATGTAGTTAGATTTTTTACCAAAGGTGGACAAGATGGTCTGAGAGATGGTAATAGTTGTTGTCCTATGCGAGATTTGGATAGAGCGTAATAGGAGAACTTTTGATAACACAACTTTAGATGTGGAAATGATTAAAAGAAAGGTATTGCAGTCGATTTGGAGCTGGTTCTCGATGACAAAGGGTTTGGTGTGTCCAAAGTGGATGTTGAGATTAATTTGCATAACTTGATGTTTCAAAATATGGCGAAAGTAAGACCAAAAGGTAGGTGGTGTTTACCTGTATTAGGGAGTGTCAAGCTAAACTTCGATGGAAGCTCATTAGGAAATTCAAGCCCAATTGGTGTTGGAAGAATATTGCATGAGGCAAATGGAGAGGTGATTTTTTGTTTTGCTAGCTCATGTGGAGAGATAACGGCTAATGAGGTGGAATTGGCTGCTTTAGAGCGTGGAATTCAGATTTTGAGTAAGACGAATATCAGAATACCATGTATTATTGAAAGGGGGTCATTGAATGTGATAAATTGGTGCAATAAGATATCCAAGCCACCATGGAGTTTAATGAAAAAATGGCTAAATATTATAGATATGTACAAGGGTTTCCAAGTCTCTTTTCAACATGTGTATAGGGAGGCTAATGACATTACCGATGGCTTGACAAAACGAGAGGCGACTATGCATAATCCGATTATTTTAGATGCTTTCCCTTTTTGAATGGTTGTAATCCTTGATTGATTAATCAAGTTAAAAGTAATATTGTCCCAAAAAAAAAAGAAGAGATATATTAATATAAAAAAAAAAAGATTTTGAATCTCATAAATAGTGCATCTTGCAACATATTATCTAGACCATCCATTTTCAAAATTTTCATATGTTTATAGATCTAGTTGATTTTAACCATTTTTGGAGTTTAAACTTTTATAATTAGATCTGAAGATAGATTTTAAGAACATCCTAAAAACATTTTACACCAAAATTACATGTTTTGATAAAATTTGGAGGTATGACTTAATTGGATTGTTTAAGGTTGCAACCTCATAGAAACCACACCCGTAAAATAATATATAAAATACTTTTTTGGATCCGATCGGGTCCGGATCTAGATTCAGATCCCATGTATACTTTTCAGATTTGGATCTAGACCCAAATATTCTAGATCCAAAACTAGATCCGGATCCCATGTATACTTTTCAGATTTGGATCTAGACCTAAATATTCTAGATCCGATCAGGTCTGGATCTGGATCCCACTTATACTTTTCGAATCCGAATTCAGATATCCAGACCCGATCCGACCCATCACAGCCCTATAACCCCATCCACTATGTTTTCTCTCTCTACTCAAATTTTGTCATGCTATTTAGTGAGAGAGATCTACAGGAATCAGGCTTGGGCTTGATTGATTACGTTGCTGACTATTTCAATCGAACGTCCCAAGTCCAAATCGTACCAATGAACGGCATAGACATGCACACATACATAGAGAGACGTTTTATAATTTACTGTTAACATTACTAGAAGATGGAAAGCAAAGTCCTGTCATAATCATGATTTGATCATAACATTTTTTTGTAAGGTTTTACCCCTAATAAGAAGTTCAATATTATTATCCATCACAGTTGTGCTTGCTGTTGAAGTTGCTCCTGTTCAGAAATCAAACGATCATGTATTAATAAAGTTGATATGAAAGTAGATATTGAAATAAGGAAAGGAAGCAACAGAGAGAGTAAAAGGCCTAGTCTAAAATATAGGCTGTGAGATCAACTTCCATGCTCAGAGAGAGAGAATGTCACAAACCTCTGAGACGAAGAAGGCATGGAAGCCATATGGAACTCTCTTGGGGAGTTCAATGACAGCGACAGGCTCCGGAGACATTGTTTTTGCATCAATCACATCGACTTCTGATTTTCTGCAATATCAATATACCCCACCATTACAATTTTATACTGAAAAAAATTTCAAAGAGATACGGATTAATGGGTGAAAAAAATTAGAAAGGAAAAAAATCATGCATGTTGTGCTCTAAGGAGCAAATTGAACATTTTCTCGAGCAAAAGCCCCACCTGGAAGTACTTCTTAGATATGTAATTTGGCAATCCAATATAGAATTATTAATTTAATTTTTTTATTTTTTATTTTTATTTTTTAAAAAAGACCTTCACATTCTTATACACCTAATTGATTAATTGTTCAAAAAATGGATGGTTTTTGTTCAATCCCAAGACGACGTGAAATTTCCAGGCTGTGAACGCAATTTACTTTTTTCTCAAGGTTGGTTGCTAGATTGACCAGGTCAGATCCCCAAAGTTTATGGTCCTACAATCTCCTACCCGGATTTTGACCTGAGGAAGCAAACATACATTTTGATCCCTTGAGAGCATTAAAATCATTTTGGAACTACAACCATGACTTACATGAGAATTCTCTCATTTTGCTAGAATTGAGAAAGACGGGGGTCACTACCCAATTAGTAGATAGTGAACTTTCTTTTCTTTTTTATGTGAGTTGATGTAATCCTTTTTCACAAATAAGTACTCTAAATTCTAGGGTTATTCCAACATAATGAAGATCAATGACCACTATAGAGAACAAATCTACCTTATTGCCCTGTAGTTTACCCCAAAAACCATTGGAACGTGTTGTCAAGGAGATGAGCCATTGGATCATATGCTATCCAGGTCACTGTAGGCAGTTTTACAGTTGATCCGGTAGCTCATTTCCATATCCCCATGATCAAACGGCTACCAGGATATATCCTACAATATCTTATTCTTTTTTTTCTCTGAATATTAAATTGAGAGATGGTAAGAATGGAACTCAAGTTGTAACATTATGGCATTCGCCACCTTGACCACCTTTGCCAAAAGCCCATTCTACATACATCCTATAATATTAGGATAGATTTGTTTTCTACATGGTCATTCCTCCATAACAACCTACTCATTGAATATAATGGTCTAGAGTAAAAAATGTCAAGCCAAAGGGGCGGGTGCCTCAACATAATGTCCCACCCTCCATTCCCACCATTAATATATCACAAAAAAGAAAGATAAACACATAAAATAAAGGAAATTTTTGATTCTTGGTGCAAACATCACCCTTTAGTTCATTCATTTAGGAAAAGTATCATCATAATAAATATTCATGCTTTTTTCAGTACTTTTCTTTTCACCTTAACAAATGGACAGAAGCCATTAAGCTAAAACTTGTAGCTATAAATTCTATGTGCATATGCATTGGCATGTAGGTGAGAGAGAGGCTTGGACTATCAATTGTGTGTGCAGCAGCATGGGCATGTACACGAGAGAGAGAGAGAGAGAGAGAGAGAGAGAGAGAGAGAGAGAGAGAGAGAGAGAGAGAGAGAGAGAGACGTAGTACGTACGTACGTACGTACGTACGTACGTAACGTACGTAACGTAACGTAACGTAACGTACGTAACGTACGTACGTACGTACGTACGTACGTACGTACGTACGTACGTACGTACGTACGTAC